GATCTTAGGTTGTTGAGAATTAAAGCAAACTAAATAATGTCATTCCTCAGAAGGGCTTTTAGTGATTGATGAATTTAGTGAAGCAGCAGGCTATGGAGTTAGGAAATATTGTAACGAACATATTGCTTCTCGTCCCTATCCTTTGCTGAATTGCTATAGCATCACGTTTTGCTGAGGATCCAACCCAGAGCATCATGCTTGCTAGGCAAGCACTCCACTACTGAGTTACATCCCTGGCCTCCCACACCTTTTATTTTGAGATCCATAAATTCCAACATTTATTGTACTTTGCAGTTAGTGAAATAAAACTATGTGTCGTCCCATTAATGCCATGCCAGGTGTTTAATGATGGTGCTATTTTTGGATGCCAGGGATGGAGAAAAACAATGCCAGGTACATAGTAGACATTTAATAAATATTTGTTAAATTAATGGGTAGACTGACTATAAAATGAGTTCCTGGCCTTCATGTGTTTCTCACCAATTGTCTATTTTGCCCATATAGTCTATAAAGCAATATTAAGGATTTAAGGTACTCTGACTTTGTTGTAACATGTGGCAGAGTCTGAAGTGCTCTCAATAAATTAAGTCTTGGCATCCTCCCTTCCCACTACACCTTCGCTGATGCTATCCTTGCTGCCTCAATGCCCTCTTACTTAGTCTCTGCCCACTAGGGAGTATCTAAGGCCCATGTTTCAAACTCCAAAATTGTAAACTCTTAGAAGATGGGAAGCAGGTGTTTGTAAAAGAGTACTCATCAGAAGTGATGAGCACGAAGCAAATGTGGAATCAATAATTATTTTTCTGATCTCTTTTCCTCCTATGGAAACAGAGTGACTGTATCCCCAAGGTCAAGAGGCCTTCCGTCTGTGCAATGCTTTAGACTTTCCAAAGGTTATGGTGTAGCAGTTCAGAATGCCTCATCTGAAGTCAGACTGTCTGGCTTCCAACCCCCTGTTATTCGGCCAGTTACCATCTGAGTGTCCTTAGACAAGTTACCTAACCTCTTTCTGCCTCAGCTTTCTCTTCTTTACAATAATGAGAGAAATAAAGTTATCTACCTCATAAAATTACTAAAAGAATTTAAATAAGTTATTTTGTAAAGTGCTTAGAATAATGTCTGTCACATAGTAAGCATTATGTAATGCTTGTCAAACTACATATATACATATAGATCGTGCATGTCTATATTGGTGGTATATATTCACATACATAGATATATACACATACATAATAATTATGTACTCGGTAAAGTTGAAGTTAAACAATTGTGGACACACAATTTGGCATCCACAATAACTTCATAAGGTGAGCAGAGATATTAAATAATTTCCTCACACTTGGTCGTTGGTAGATCCATTCCTCTAATCCATGTCTTCTGATTCTGAACGAGAAATCAAAAAGTAGAAACTATAGCTTTTATCCACTGATCTTCCCCCAAACATGTAGTTTTCAGATTCAAAATTATTTCTTTACACCAACTGTTGAAATTTACTATACGTATTTTAATTATTTTGATTTAAAGCACAAGAATTGTGTCAGACTCAGGATATGAGCCTTTCAGTAAAAATTAAAAATAAAAATATCTATATATATAAATATATAAATCCATGATGTGAGTCACTTTTTATTTGACTACATTTTTCCTACAATTGAAGAAAGATAAATTGAGTGTGTTGAATGGGGAATTATGTTTGAAGTTTTAGTAGAGAAGAATTCAAATTAGAAAATATACGGTTGGACTACATTTAAATGGATATATGTCTGTCATGCCATTTAGTATGCAAAGACTTGTGTTTGCATTAAACTGAGGGAGAAGCAGTTACTTTCCTGGCAGTATATATTCAAAATGCACCTTTGAAAAATAAAGGCATTTTGTTCTTCTCTGGGGGGGAAAAAAAGCTGTTATTTTATTTTAAATACAAGACATATTTGACTTCTGTCAACGGCTTACATTTTAATAATGCAGTTTGTACTTGCATTCATTATCTGCAATTAGAATTCTTCAAAAGCTTTTAGCATTTTTCTCCTGAACTTTTAAAATTCATTCATCGTTACTGTTAACATTTTAGGGAACAATGATTTCATAAGTCCAACTGGAAAACTAAAAGAAATTTGTTGTCTGAAAATTACTGCTGAACTAGGTAGAGCATCCTCAGCTCTTATGCTGAACCTCATTATGGTCAGATATTTACACGCTTTTCATCATAGTATTGGGTCAGACTCTAATGTTTTCCTTTTAACCCACATTAGTTAATTAGAAATCCTATACCAGCAATCAGCTCAGTCTTTCTTTTATACTAAGGCTTAGTTTGTGCAAATTACCTGCTTATACTAGTGCCCACTATCCAAGTAAAACAAGAGTCCAGAGGACTCATTTCTTTGTCATGTATTGAACGGAAATATTTCTCAGATACCCAGAATTGTCTGATATGTCTTTTCATCCAGGTGTGGTGGGAGTCATGTGTTCTCATTTCTTTCTGCCTCTCAGTTAGCAAGAAGAATACAAACAGCTAAGCAGCTCTGTGAGTGGGGCATCTGTGCACATGTGTGTTGAGTTTTTTCACCCTCTCATTTTAAGATGTAACTGGAACCAGGACCTAAATGGTATGTGGGTTTGCTTCAGGCAGAGAATATAAACAGAGCCAAGCCTAGCAATGCAAGGTGTGTAGTGGATTCATTGACCTCGCTGTTTGCCCAGCTGCAGGGTGACTCCCTTCTCATTCCCCAGCTGCCCAGCTCCTTCCCACTACTTTTTTATTTTCTTTTAAACTGGAGTAGCCAACCAAACTTCCCCTGGATAGGTTTAATAATTACTAAAAACAGACAACTTTCCAATGACAGCTCAGAAAAAGCCGCCACTGCTGTAAAGTTTAGCCTTTACTTTGTTCTCGTTCAGTACTGCCTTTGCATTTTTAAGAAAAGACATCATTCGATTTTTTTTTTAATAAAAATAAGTAAAGGCTCTTCACCAAACCCAAGTTTTACTCTTCAAAGTAGTAATCTTAAAAATATGTGCTGTTGAACCATATGAAAATATCAGTTTTCCAAGTTTTTTAAAATAACCTACAGAAACAGCGATTTTATGTAGTTCAACCTAAATAAACAACATTTGTTCCAGAGATGCTTCCAGGCTTCACATTGTATTAAGACTCATCTTTTGAAGTGAGAAAACTAAAATTTATTACTTTAAAATATTATATTAGTCTCAACTTCTTAACAGCTATACTTGAGCTATAAAATTGAGTAACTTTTGGCTACTTGCAGATGACATGAATCTGCCTTATAATTTTTGACATATTCTATGAGAAAGTGCCAGCACTGATGCTCAGTGTTGGGTTCTAGTTCCAATATGTTCCTTGGTACGTTGGTGTATCACACCTATGTGTGTTGGTTTCTTTCTTAAGGAATATAAATGCACAAAATACCCAGATTTCAGAATTTTCCCAGGTGCCTGATTCTGCAATGCACATTAGAATTATATTGGAAAACTGATTTTTAGGTAAAATCTCTAAAAATCTGTGACTATTTTATTTTTATGTATCAGAGAACACAGAGATTATATGTAAATGTTGTTACAAGAATAAGTAGCAAATACCTTTACTCATTTTTTGAGAAAATATTTATTAAGTATGTTATCTAAAGTACTTTAGAGATAGATCAGTTTTATTTTGTTTCTGTTTTTATTAGTAGAGCATAAAATTGGCAGAGCCTCAAAAATTTACATATTCTCTAACCCTGCAATTCTACTTCTAGAAAGTTCTCCTAGGAATTATGACATAATTTTGTCCACAAACATTTTTGTAATAATAAGATAACCAAAATTTTTCATAATTGAGAATTCATTATATAGGTTAACAACTTGCATGGAAAAGATACATTACAAAATGTTCCACATATTCCTAAATGTTATTAAAATATAAGTTATGTATAATTCATTTCCAAGGGAAGAACTAAGATGAGATATACATGAAGGGTTTTCAGCACAGCTTTCTTTATAGAGCAAAAAATTGAAATAATCCTAAAATATTCAACAATACTGTTTACTTAAGTATGTATGGACATTATATAAAGAAGTATTATACAGACCTTCTTCTTATTTGGAAGAATATTTAGTGATATAGAAAAATATTCTGATATATTAATTAAAAGAAGACATTAAAAATTGTACAAAAATGGGCTGGAGTTGTGGCTCACTGGTAGAGCACTCGCCTACTACATGTGAGGCACTGGGTTCAATCCTCAGCACTACATAAAAATAAATAAATAAATAAAGGTATTGTGTCCATTTATAACTAAAAAGAATTTAAAATAATTGTACATGTAGGATGATCCCAAATATTTAAGGGGAGAAATAAATATGACATTTTTAAATGAAGAAGTGGGTGTGTGTGTTTTTATAGGTAAAAGACTAGAAGACTGTATACCAAATCTTAACCATGGTTTGCTGTGTATTTTATTTTCTGCTTTGTATCATGTATTGTCTACCCTGAAATTTTAAGTATCACTTTGTGATCAGAATAAACAATGTTTTTAAACTACAACTATATATGAACCTTAATATTTAAATTTGGTATTTTGAAAGGAGATTTTGTGTGATAAATTCCTTTTTTCCTATCTAAGCTGGAGTTTTGGTTGGGTTAAAACTTATCCATGAATAAATAGTTTATTCTGCAAATTAGTAATGCATGTGTGATTTTAGAGAAACACTTTTAAGCTTAAGAGAACTTTCTGAGTATGTTGAAAAGTTTGCAAAAGACTCTTAAATCATTTTTTCATCAAAGCCTGTCCCCTAAGTGCCTCTTCCTGGCAGGTGAATTTGCATATTTGTTTGCTTTATGTAGAAGCAATAGGCCATAATTCATGTATTTTACTAACAATCTGTCTTTTTCCTGCCAGTTGGAAGGCGATATTTTTAACAGACACATCATTTAATGGTTTGCATTCACTCTGTAAGTTACAGGCAGACATCTTTTAACAATTTGGGTTACTTTTTCACAGGTGATGAAAACATACCACATGTATCATGCAGAGAGCATCAGTGCAGAGAGCAAGCTGAAAGAGGCTGAGAAACAAGAGGAGAAGCAAATTGGGAAATCTGGTGATCCTGTCTTCCATATTAGACTAGAAGAGAGACATCAGCGGCGAAGCTCTGTAAAGAAAATTGAAAAAATGAAAGAAAAGGTAAGTGAAAATATATTGCAGAGCCCTCCGTCTTCAGCGAGGAGCTAATAATGCACTAAGAACACTGCCGCAAAATCACTGATCTAAGCACATTGTAAATTATTGTGAAATGACACGCATTTCCTCCCATGGGAAAGAAAAATGTTTAAGACACATAAAAATCATGTAATAACAGCTGGACATCATTTAGTGGTGAATGCCAAGTATTGAGTATAAATGTGGAAAACTTGAACGGCAACAAAGAGATTTCATTGCAAATGGGCCTGAAGCCCAAATACATTGTTGTTATTCCCCATAGCTGGGTAATTTTAGTTTGTTATTTAAATCAATTTCAGAATGTACTTTTCACAAAGACTTAGAGGGTCATTTGTATATGTGGAATAAATTATTTAGATTAATAAAAATTCATGTATGTTTCTCTGTCTTATTTTAGAATGGCTTTGTCTCTCAATGCCTGCATCTTCTTCCTTTCCAGAGACAAGCAAAGTATTCAGAAAATAAGCTAAAATCGATTAAGGCACGGAATGAATATCTCCTAACACTTGAAGCAACTAATGCCTCAGTTTTCAAGTACTATATTCATGATCTTTCGGATTTAATTGATGTAAGTAATTATGGTTTTTATGTTTCCATATTAAGATGGAATTAACAATAGCTTTCCTTCATTAACTGGAAAACACCATTCTTGATTAAAATAATGTTATTTTATGTAGTACTCAGAAAAATACTTCCCATTCCACTATATGGGATACTTACACACTATGGATTCTAAGACATTTGTAAAAAAAAAAAAAAAAGCGTGTATCTTAAAACCGGTGATAATCAGGTGATTAGGGTCTTTGAAGCTGCAAGTACCTGGTGAGCTCAGCCAGAAAGGGGACCCAGCCATTTGCAAATTATGCAGTGACATAGCCCCAACCATTCATTGATTCAAAATATCTTAATTGGGCTCCTCCTTTTGTGATATGCTGAGGCCCTAAGAAGCCATGTAGAATGCTTAGCCTCTGGAAAATAAAATGGAGAAGACAGGTGTTAAGCAAATGACTACACAAGTGATTGCTCTGTGACAATTATGACAAACACAGGGAAGCAAAACTGGGCAAACGAACCACTCTGACAGATTATTCCATGTCTCTGTACTTTCTTGGGATATGGAGTAAAAAAAGCAGTAATTGGGCTCATTTAGAATTCTCCAAAAATATATCCACAATTACATTCATACAGCATTTGCTGCTGTTATTCCACAGTGTTAGGCCTCTGCATCCTTCATCCTTTCATTCATAAAATGTAACCTAGTGATCATGCCAACACTGTAGGAAATGCAAAGATGAAACAGACAAAAACCCTGTGCCCCCAAATGCCAGTACCTGAATTTAAAAGATAAAAGTGATAAATGCCATAAGAAAAGCACAGATAAAGTCGTAGAGGTTCCAAAGCTTGGCTGCTGGAGCCTCACTCATATGCTACTTTGTTTTTTTTATTTTTATTTTTTTTTTAATTTTTTATTGTTCGCTGTTCAAAACATTACATAGTTCTTGATATATCATATTTCACACTTTGATTCAAGTGGGTTATGAGCTCCCATTTTTACCCCATATACAGATTGCAGAATCACATCAGTTACACATCCATTGATTTACATATTGCCATACTAGTGTCTGTTGTGTTCTGCTGCCTTTCCTATCCTCTACTATCCCCCCTCCCCTCCCCTCCCCTCTTCTCTCTCTGCCCCCTCTACTGACATTCATTTGTCCCCCTTGTATTATTTTTCCCTTTCCCCTCACTTCCTCTTGTATGTACTTTTGTATAACTCTGAGGGTCTCCTTCCATTTCCATGCAATTTCCCTTCTCTCTCCCTTTCCCTCCCACCTCTCATCCCTGTTTAATGTTAATCTTCTTCTCATGCTCTTCGACCCTACTCTGTTCTTAGTTACTCTCCTTATATCAAAGAAGACATTTGGCATTTGTTTTTTAGGGATTGGCTAGCTTCACTTAGCATAATCTGCTCTAATGCCATCCATTTCCCTGTAAATTCTATGATTTTGTCATTTTTTAATGCAGAGTAATACTCCATTGTGTATAAATGCCACATTTTTTTAATCCATTCATCTATTGAAGGGCATCTAGGTTGGTTCCACAGTCTTGCTATTGTGAATTGTGCTGCTATGAACATCGATGTAGCAGTGTCCCTGTAGCATGCTCTTTTTAGGTCTTTAGGGAATAGACCGAGAAGGGGAATAGCTGGGTCAAATGGTGGCTCCATTCCCAGCTTTCCAAGAAATCTCCATACTGCTTTCCAAATTGGCTGCACCAATTTGCAGTCCCACCAGCAATGTACAAGTGTACCCTTTTCCCCACATCCTCGCCAGCACTTGTTGTTGTTTGACTTCATGATGGCTGCCAATCTAACTGGAGTGAGATGGTATCTTAGGGTGGTTTTGATTTGCATTTCTCTGACTGCTAGAGATGGTGAGCATTTTTTCATGTACTTGTTGATTGATTGTATGTCCTCCTCTGAGAAGTGTCTGTTCAGGTCCTTGGCCCATTTGTTGATTGGGTTGTTTGTTCTCTTATTGTCTAATTTTTTGAGTTCTTTGTATACTCTGGATATTAGGGCTCTGTCTGAAGTGTGAGGAGTAAAGATTTGTTCCCAGGATGTAGGCTCTCTATTTACCTCTCTTATTGTTTCTTTTGCTGAGAAAAAAATTTTTAGTTTGAGTAAGTCCCATTTGTTGATTCTAGTTATTAACTTTTGTGCTATGGGTGTCCTATTGAGGAATTTGGAGCCCGACCCCACCGACTGTAGATCGTAGCCAACTTTTTCTTCTATCAGACGGCGTGTCTCTGATTTGATATCAAGCTCCTTGATCCATTTTGAATTAACTTTTGTGCATGGCGAGAGAAAGGGATTCAGTTTCATTTTGTTGCATATGGATTTCCAGTTTTCCCAGCACCATTTGTTGAAGATGCTATCCTTCCTCCATTGCATGCTTTTAGCCCCTTTATCAAATATAAGATAGTTGTAGTTTTGTGGATTGGTTTCTGTGTCCTCTATTCTGTACCATTGGTCCACCCGCCTGTTTTGGTACCAGTACCATGCTGTTTTTGTTACTATTGCTCTGTAGTATAGTTTGAAGTCTGGTATCGCTATACCGCCTGATTCACACTTCCTGCTTAGCATTGTTTTTGCTATTCTGGGTCTTTTATTTTTCCAACATATGCTACTTTGTATTGATCGCATCCAACAGCCTTATGATTTTATGAAATTATACATTATGACTCCCAAAAGTTGTCATAATGTAAACATACAGTAAGTTAAAGCAACTTAATTTTTATGGCGAATTTAATGTAGTTAACTATTATTTTAGAGAGATAATTTGAGACTTTTACAAAAGCATTGTTGAAAGGGAATTATTTTTTTAGCTCATCAACACTCTGATGATTTTCCCCTTTTATTTTAGTCTTCAAACAACTTTATCTTATAATATAATTTTTTTCTAATATAATTTTTTTTTCTGTAAAACCATGGAGTAATAAGGAAAACCAAGAAAACCTTTTTTCTCTTTTTATTTGTTACTAGTATTTCAGTTGAGTAAGTAATCCCTTCATTGTTTTAAATGCAGAAACTTTTTGTGGATATTTTTAAAATTCTTTTCTTCCAGCACTCTGATGAAATACAAGAAATTCTCTGTTAGAGTGCTGCTATGTTTCCTTTTAAAAAAAGAAAGAAAGAAAATTCTTTAGGTTTCCTGAATAAAAATAAAGAATAATATAGCTAAGAAAGACTAATAGAGAAGGTGAATATGATCAGAGCACAGTATATATATATATATATATATATATATATATATATATATATATATATATATATATGGAAATGTCACAAAGAAACCCTTTATTTTGTAGAAATAATATATGCTAATAATTGCTATTAAAAAAGAATTTTATGACCTCTTGTTTACAAATTCAGATCCATAAGTTTTCTATAAACTAATTTGATGTAACTTCTCTACATAATTTTTCATTTCAAACTTAAGCTAAGCCAGTTTTTGCACACAGAAAACTTTCCAAGTATTCGAAAGTATTTCTTTTATACTTACCAAGTACTGTTTTGGTTGATTACTTTTTGCAGTGTTGGGACTGGTACTGAGGGCTTCACACATACTAGGCAAGTGCTCTACCACCGAGCTATAGTTCAGCCTTTATATATATGTATACACACACACACACACACACACATACCGTATACACATGTATGTATATGTTAGAGGAGAGGCAGTACTGGGGATGGAACCCAGCACCTTGCAATTGCTAAGTATGCACTCTACCACTGAGCTAAGTGCTTAGTGCTTAAGGTGATAGTGCGAAATGGTTAGTCCTCAGCTAATATTATGTGTTGGGTCTGGGGAGCTCTACCCCAGTGCACTCAAGCACCATTTTTGACAATAGGAATCCAGCAAAGTCAAACAAAGTCCTTACTGTCATGAGGTTTATGTATATGCTGGGAAATAGACAATAAATGAAGTTACACTAACACACACATGCATGCACACATATATATATGGAGTGATAGTGCCATAAAGAAAAATAGAACAGAGCTGAGGGAATGCTTCTTTTGATGGGGTGATCAGGAAAAGCCCAGTCTTTGAATGGAGAATTGAGCTGGAGAGCCACACAGCCATCAAGAGAAGGGGACCCTCCAAGGGAAGGACTGGTAAGGCAAAAGCTGCAGAAGTAGAGTGTTCCAGAAGCTCAGTGCTCACAGGATAGCAAAGGAGATTGGTCTGGCCAAAGTTGAGTGAGGGAGAAGGGAAATGCTAGGAGAGAAGATCAGCAGAAGACCAATCACAGGGTCTTCTGGACAGTGGAAGGGTTTGTATTTTGTTCAAAGATGGTTTTGAACAGGAAATGACATCAGCTGGATTACATTTAAAGATTCTGCATAGCCAAATAGAAAAAGACTGAATGGCTCAGGAGGTCAAGCATAAACACAAAAGCTTTATCAAGAGTCTTTTGTAGTTGGCCAAGCTAAAGATGATTCTGGCTTGGACTAGTGTGGCAGTGATCGACCTATAAGTAGTAGGATGCAAAATGCATAAGGTTGCAGATGGAAATCTGATATAATGGATGAAAAAGAGGAGAGAAATGACTAAGATTCAGGTCCAGAGAAATGAATCAGGCTCCATGCCTGCCAATAATCTAGGAATTTGGGAGGCTGAGGTAAGAGGATCACAAGTTTGAGGCCAGACTCAGCAAATTAGCAGGACCCTGTTTTAAAAAAAATAAAATAAAATAAAAAGTGATGGGGATGTAGCTCAATGGCAAAGTACCCCTGGGTTCAATCCCCAGTACCAAAGGAGAAGGAAGAGGAAGAAGGAGAAAGAAATGGCATTAGTTTAACGATAGTGCTGTTTATTAAGATATTGAAGAGTAAGAGCTGTAGTTCTGTTTCATATAGCATGATTGACATGCCTACTGGCCTTCTGTGGGGAGATTCCAAGGAGCATCCTCAATGTTCTTGGAATATACAAGACAGAAAGAGCAAGTCAGAAGAACTATGAGAGTCTCCATCACTTTCATGGATATTGAGCTCTTACTGTGTGA